TTTTTGGGAAATTTTTAAATTTTTTTTTTAAAAAACCCAGTTTAGTTTTTTTTTTCCCTTCTTGGGCCCCCACGGGGGGGGGGGGGTGGCCCCAGCGGATTGGTCTTGTTTCGCCTAAAAAATGGCGCAGGTCACGCCAACAATCGGTCACAGACAGCTTGAATTTCAACCCGGACCGCGCCAACAATTTTGCACATGGCCTACAAGCAAACAACAAATTGTATCGGGATGAGCATGCTTTGTGGACAGAGAACTAGCCGGTTCACCTCCTCCCTCGTGCACCATTCTATTTGAACGTGGCGTCATCAAAGAGCAGAGTTGCCCCGAACGTGTTGGACGTACGTGCAGGTTCAGAAAATCGTAAATTGCACTAACTATGAAACGAGGCGTAAGAATGCGACGCATAGACTTTACTACAGTATGTAGTATTATTGAGTAATATCAAATTTTTGATGACTCTTCTACACTATCATGTTATCATGTTACATATATACTCACAGGATGGTCGTCGTGACATGATACATTTCTTGTTATATAGTACAAATATGGAAAAAAATAGAAAATAAATGGCTCGATTTTTGTATTTCTACAGCAGTAAAGTATGGACCAGACGCCGACTGTACATAGAAGTTGCCGAGTGTCGACTTAGTTGTGCTGTCACAGCATCTTCCACGCACTTCTGCCAGTGCTGGTTTGTTGGTTGGAGTCTTGTAGGTCGAGATACAGCAGTGGGATTCTCGGGGTGTGGAGGCAAAGTGAACTAGAGCAAAAAATTAATTGCATGCATAGCTCGATTACTGCTGCTGCTGTGTTTTTGCAACAGCAATATGGACTAGACGCCGAACGACGTCCGCGTACTACCGCAACGACCTAACTGGATGGGATGCTTCCTGCCACGGCGAACCATAGTACAAATGTGATGCAAACATCCGTTCGTGTGTCGCGCGGCTGCCACATGTGTCGACGACAGGGACACGTAGATTTCTCGCCATGTTTTGTCGTTACCGCGCAGGAGGACCTCTCGGAGATCTTCCACATGGTGCTACAACGACAGCAGTACTACTGTACATAGATGTCGTAGGAGAGTGGAGTTGTGCTGTCACGGCATCTCCTACGCACTCTCCTACCGGTGCTTGTGTCGATTGGAGTCTTGTAGGCCGAAATACAAGAGAGGGTTGGGTTCCCGGGTTGTGGAAGAACCTGCCTGAAACAACAGAGAAGGGGGTGTTATATTTACTACGACAATCCCGCTCAACTTTTTTTTTCTTTGCGGCATGTGGTTGCATATTTTTCTTTGCCACTGCCGAAAAAGACCACTGGATCTTTACGCAGTCCATCTTTCGCATTTATTTATCATTTTACACCGCGAACGACGCAGGACGGGTCGACCTTCATCATTGTTGTTGTTGTTGTGTCGTCACATTTAAAACCGTTCCGATCTCTCTCTACCCAGTACCTTCATATGTAATGTCCGCTTGTGGATTATACCTGTTGGAAATTGTGGGAATCCCTACACATTCCGAGAGAGCCATAGGTCGGCATCCGGCCTTTTCATTTTTTGTACAAGTATGCACTTTTTTTCTTCTTGTGAAGTTTCGACGTTGCGCTTGCCATCGTCGCTTAAGTATTTGTGTCTTCAAACCTTCTCACTCAGTCGGCCTTCAAACTTGTTGTTGATAAGTCTCCGTGGTAACTTCTCCGCGCATGAGTCACATGCGGTTATGATGTGCGCTCTGACTTTCACGATGGTCCCCGTCTTGCATTGGTGAGTACCTGCGTTATTTTATTTTATTTTTTTTACTTTTTCTTTTTTTTGTCTTCACTTCGAATCAGCGCTCACAGCACTAGCGCCGTTTACTCCAAACCCGTGGTCACACAGAAGACCCCCTCTCTCTACCCTCCCCTCCTACGGTACTTTGCCTTCGATTTTAAATACGAGAAGAGTTCAGCACTCTCTTCCCTCGGTGTACACACGAACTAGCGCTATCCACTAGGCCAGTAGCGGAAGCGAGAGAAAAATGTTATGGAGCAACTAGTGTATTTGCATTGTACGAGCGTTTCATGAACGTTGTATGAGCGCTTATTGGATATTTTGAATTTTCTTTGGATATGGATATTTGGCGACGTTGAGGGGTATTGAAGTAGCTTGAAGGAAGATCAAAATCCCAGCCCCGCTCCCTCACTCTCCGAGTGGGCGCTGAGCGGACCTGGTCTAAGAAGGCTAAAACAAGAGATCAAACAACAACTAACTGTGAGTACCCGAAGCCAGGAGCAACGAGCTTGCTCCCTTCCCTCTTTTATTTCTCTGTTCCTCCATAACATTGTGGCGTCGTCGGCAGGACTCACTTTGCAAGAAAAGCTCGCTTACGCCGGGATTCGAACCCCTGACCTGACCTCTAGAAGGTGTCGAGGTTACCAACTAGACCACCGGGGCGACCGGCCTGTATTATACGGAAGGATCGTTCCACGACGCATACGTCGACGTCTCCTTTTTTTTTTTCCTTCGCATTCCTTCCTTGCCGCGGTTTTCACACCGACTTCGAACTTCGAACGTGGGGTGCAATTTCCTCTCTTCGTACCTTCCTCATCGGCTTCTCCATCGTTATGTACATAATGTATACCTCGATTTTTCGGCTTTTCGAGTCCGATAGACAAGACTACGGACTAGCATGTCCCTTCACCCCCGACGGGACCGCGCGCTCGTCGGGTGCCGAAATTCTTCACCACTTCCTTGCCTCTCCCAACTCCATCCCTTCTTCCCGCCCCTACAAATCCTCTCCCCTTCTTCTTCTTCTTTCCTTCCTCCCGGACACTCACCACCATCCGTCCTGGATGTTGGCCCCCAGCCCCATTGGGGGGCGGGGGGCCAATCCTTAACCATAGTTTGAGATATGGACAGAATTATCACAAGCCAGACGACGTACAGAAGCGGCGAACAGCGAATAATATCGAGTTATCGACAAGACCACCACGTCGTTGGGAACCATTTTCGCAAGGTATCACAATCTTCGCTATAGACCTCAAGACCGAGCAATCAATGTCGCTACCCATATCACTTGCGTGCAGATTCGTTGCGGTGCAAGCGAAGGCACAATAACCTGCGTGTGTGAACCACAGCAGATTTAATGAGGAAACAATCCATACAAGCATATGATAATAATATGCTTGACCACTCAGCAGGTTTGATTGCGATAGCACTCCAGCATTCGCATATGTATGTGGTCTAGACCGTTTCGGACGCGACCCAAAATAGCGCTCGAAAAGATTTTGGCACGTGCGAGTGCTGCACTGGTTGACTCAACGCGCTGCTTGCTGGCCTCAGGATGCCCTCGATGAGGTCAACCCTGGTGACGTAATTGAACTCGGGCACGGAGACTACTGGGAAGATCTCAAGACACGGGTGGGTGGCCGGCAGTGTTGCCTAACGTGGGTTCAGGGTTGTCCGCATCTTTCAATCACACCATGTGCAGTAAATAAAGGTCGTTCCAGCACACGTACCTCGGACATTAGGTGCAACAGGCAAAGAACGCGTACTTCGAAGTATGTATGTACTATAATAACACGTATGTATTCCTTCGCTTTGCACGTGGACCACCACACCAATCATTCACTACCAGGCCTCCTAACCAACGGTGTGATCAGTTAACAGAACAACTGTTCCGAGTGTATCACGTCGAGTAGTGAGCAGAGAACCGAGTGAGATAGTTTTGCAGCAGTGGTGGCTGCATTTGATGCTTCAATTGGTCGCACCCTCTGACATGTCGGAGGGGTACAACACCGACGAGGACATTGAACGCCCTCAAATGTTGGGCGTTCACTTTGTGATGAAGCCTCACAGCAGTACTATGTCGTGTAACCTGTCGAGGAAAGGCTGCTGCTACTATATGGTGTCGTACAACTCGTCGAGGAAAGCTGCAATCGAGAGTAGTGTTGGACCACGCTTTTTGGCGGCCATGCCCTTGCCTCACGTTCTTTACCTTTCTCTATCGTCGCTGGTCTGTAGACCGATGGAACGGCCGACATGCCAATCACCATCCGCGGGGCTGCGGGGACGGACGACAGAGAAAACGTCGTTCTGCGCGGCGACGGCACTAGCTCCAGGGTGTTGGAAATCAAACACGACTACTACATCATCGAGGTGTGTGGGCATCGTTGGTTACGGCGCGGGTGAGCACTGCGGAAACGCCGTGACTACTGTGTATGTATGTCTTGGTGGGCCGTATCCTGCCGCGTTTATATCGATCGTCGACGACCGAAGACCTCCAAAGGATAGGCCAACAAAAAGCAGCCCACTCATGGTCACATGCCATCTAATTGGAACTGCTTGAACGTCGCTCCTTTGCCAATCCTAGGCACCGAATAAAGCCTGGCTGATCAATACATCAACATACTTACGCGATGTTGCATTCTAGCGATCATGTCGCCGAGTACATGAGCGTTTTGTGGATGACTTCTTTCTTTTCGCAGCATCGTCGTGCTCTCGTTTTATTGTCAAAAGTGTATTTCATAGCTTTCATTCGTAGCGTTCTTCAAGTAACACGTAGAGAGCAGTACCCGACCACCGTGCGCGTGGCGAACACTCAAGAGTCAAATGCGCTACTGCCATATCTTGTGTGGCATATCCGCTCACATCCTACCAGGACTTCACGGTGGACGGAGACGCGGAAGATGATCCCAACCGTAATTCGGATTCGGATTCCGCCGAGGATATGTGGCGCGACATACTCATCTACGCCATCGGTAGGAGATTCCCCAACCATGGCGTCGCTGTTTTGATGTAGGTGGCGTTGTACCAGTGCGTCGCTGTTTTGATGTAGGTGGCGTTGTACCAGTGTTGTTGCTGTTCCCTTTGACATGATTCCCCTGGAGCCCCACCCCAAGGTTGTTCTCGAACCTCCACACCAGCGACGAGACCACGAAGGTACATTACCAGGAAGGTGATCGTGCTTGGAACGGGAAACAATAGCTGGAAAAGCGGCAGAGGGGTAAAAGGGGTCTCGCTTGCGTTGTACGAAAATTGTGCTGATGATAATAAAACAAACGGTCAACCGCCGCCCGTTTCGTGCACTTGTCGTTTCGACTGTCGACGCGGTCATGGCCACTGTGGCTATGCAAGTGCGGCCGCAGCTCAGAGCTCCCTGCCCCCCCCCTACTCACCCACTTTATCGAAACGCGTGAATGTCGACGGCTATTACCACTCCCTTCCTCCTTCAACCAGCCGACCGGGAGCCCACCGAAAGGGATGGGGGCTATGTTTCTACGCTAGACGGTCTGGTGATTCGCAATATGAAGCTTGCCAACGCCGGTGGCGAGTGCATCCGCTTGCGCGGTAAGTCAAGGAGCCACAAGCATGTTCTTGTGGCACATGCGAGACCGAAGTACGGTGTCTCGTGTTTGGGTGGTCTACCCGTTCTCGTGCGATTCGAGGCAAATTGCGGTGTGCACTCGAAACCATGGGGGAAGCGTGTGTCTCGTGCTTGAGCGTCTCTGCTCGGTCGTACGTAGTGCATCGAGGTCATGCCACGTACAATTTTCTTGCCTTTTATGAAGACAGGTGTTCTTCAAGCCGTCTCCCGTTGCATCTGCAGAGAACCGATTTCTGACTGCGTCTAGACTAATACTTGGGCAGGCGGCACAAGTTGAAACCTCTTTTTGTTGATACTTGAAACCCTTCTCCTTCCGGCTAACGTGCTCTTCCTCCATCAATCACGCGGCCGCTCTTCCTGCCCTTGTCCTCCTGCCCCCCCCAAGACCACGTGACGTACGCCGAAGTGCACCACAACAACATCACCGACTGCGGTAAGCTTCAGGAATTGCCTTTTCCAGCGTTTCAGCTCCACCGTATAGACACATCGCTGAAACCGGAGCTGGCGAGGCTTGAAACCTGAAACATTGCCCCCCCTTCCCCCGCCCCGTCTTTGTAGGGATGCGAGTTGAATGGCCTAACGACTACGGCATGCATGACCCTAAGTACACCCCCTCCTTTTCGTCTTCCGACTCTTCCGTGCCCGCCCTCGTACACCCAGGAATCTACGACTTCAGGTTCGAGTGCCCCTAGTGTGCCGAGGCTCGACCTCAAGCAGTTTGAAAGGGCGTCGCATCCCCGACCTGTCAAATGATTCCATGGAGATACCTCGCGTTACGTGTTTGCCGTGGCGGGCCGGGGCGTTTGGTGGGGTACGCGGCAAAGTCCGGTGCAAGCGGCCCCGTCAAATGTTTGGTTATGCGTGGTAGAAGAGAGAGGACACCCATCCTGCCTCGAAATTCCATGTTCCCTCTTTCTCTGTCTATCTGTTGCAGTTGGTAGCGTGTCACGCCCGCACCTCTCGTTCGTATTGTAGTCGAGGGACCTTTTTAGTCCCGGTATGTGCACGGAACGTTCACCGGCGCTAAACCGAACATCGGCCATATTCAAATTACAGAACAACTTGGTATTTCAGTGTGTGCGAGCCGAAAACACCGGGCACCCGGCACTATGCGACCGGCATTAAAGAGGTCTCCTGAATGTGTGTTATGTTATGTTTCTCCCCCCCCACACTTTCGCCCTTATCCTCATCGCCATCCCCTTCCTCCCTCTCTCTACCACCCGCGCTTTCATCCACCTGCAGGATATACGGTGACGGCAAAAACGGAGAAGGTTTATGTGAGTGGGAAGAAAACTTCGAGAGTACTCTAGAGCGGTATCCCGGAGCAGCCGTGCGGCTGCAGTCAGCGACAAGAACTGTTGTGAAATGGGAAGTTTAGCGATGCGGTGAAAAACGTTGAGATTTGATTTTTTCCCCAATATCAGTCAAGAGCCTTGCTTCATTGAGCGTCCCAACGATGTAACAATATGGATTACGGCGCATATATCTGCTTCATGCCTACGTTTGCCGTAAGGGCCAGCGTCTTTTGGGAGTGAGAAATTGTCACAAGTCGTAGAAACGTTTGGAACAAACTGCATATACCGTTTAAGTGTGCGCTTCGACATCGATCGACATGGTCTCCACTGTGACTTGCTTTGATGGCCGACACGCAGATGTCGGAACCTCGAGCGATCAGTGGGAAGACGGGCCGGACGTGTGCATGGGCAACATCATCCGTGACAACTACATCCGGACAAGGGTAAGGGAGGAAGCACCGAAGCTCGCTATCTTCATGTTTCCACTGCCATGAAACACAAACGTGCAATATATATTGTCGTGGTAATTCACCGCAGATTGTTTTGGAGCTGCACGTCGTCATACCTCGTGCCAGAACCAAAGCAAACGGCGTCAGATCGAAAAAAGAATAACGCAGCGATCATAAGAGTTCATACAAGGTGTGTGTGTGTGATGTCAAATGGGCGGGCAGGTTCAGAATCGAATCGAAACCGGCGGGGTACTGTTGGTTGTCGGGCTCGAAGCCCGAAAAAGATGCAGGGGACAGTTTTCTCGCCGAACGGTTACTGTTTTTGTGATTGGACGCAGCTTGAATGGTTACCTGTTGTGGTCAGATGCGTGGTAAGTTGGGGGGGAACGGGGGCGTTGGCGAGAGTCTCTGCGACCTGGCGAAAGGGCAGTGTATATTGGGCAGCAACGGCCGCTCCTCGCCGGTTACCAGAACTCCGCCTTGTCGGCACGACCCCAATGTTCGCTTTGTGGCCGCTACTGCTGTACTATTTACCTCCATCAGGGTAACGAAGGTATTGACGTGAAAGAAGGAAGCGTTGACACCCTGATCGAGTTAAACGAGGTGCACATGCAATACGACAAGGAGTCCGGAGGTGAGTCGAAGAGACGAGGATAGAGAGTTAAATAGCTCTGCTTGTTCGCACTACAAACGGTGGTCGGTACGATCTTGGTTAGGTTGTCGGTTCGAGGTGATGCAGATGGGAAAATTCGACCCGTGAGAGGGTCCTTGTCTCGAGAAGAATCGATCGTTCCGCAGCCCCTTTTCAAGAAAATTATTTGTTACCCTGGCAGTTTTTGGGTCCACGCGGACGCGGATGACTCCGTCGTTCGCTAAGTCTCGAGCACGTGACAGCAGACATAGCTGTGGGACGTAGTCCAGAGAATATAAACCGATGTACATACCTGGGATGCATTTCATGATTGCCTCAAAAACCACAGGATAGACATTCGTTGGCAAACGTCTTGGTCAGCCGTGCAGCGCTGGTTGCGATGCATCCGTATTAGCAACGCGAAGTAGGAATTCATCTTCGCTGGGCGATGCCATGCACACTGCGAGGCGTTCCAGAAGCACGAGGGCGTGTGTTCACAGCAGCACAAGCGTTCCCAATAGCGGGGAACATTGCCGCCTCACATGCAGTCTTTGCATCAACCTGCTGCGGCGGGCACTGAAGCAATCGCAAATCACACGAGTAACAGCAACGAAAAAAATCCCATCGTTCGTGGGCAGGCATCGGAAGCCGTGGTGACCGGAGCATCATCCGCTACAACCACATCCAAGACACGGACGGCGCGGGTGTCCGTCTAGGCGGCCATGTCGTCGACAACATTGAGTACGGCGCCAACAACCAGGTGCTCGTGGAGTCTGGCCATGCCGAGAATTCTAACTTCATGCAATCGCAAGGCGCCGCATTTTCTCACAGACGCAAACCGCTTGTTTCTAAAAACGCAAAGGCTGTGCAAGGGAGGCTCGTCAGAGCAAGTTTCATCACCGGAATAATTACTGTCGTCACGGGGGTGGATGTCTGACGGTAGAGAGCTACACCGTCACTGTAAGGCAGACGGTTCTTTGACGCCCATCCTAGTAGTCGATCTCAACCGCTAAATAGCGTGCTATGACGCAAAGACGCGCCACCTGTCGACGGCGTTCCCGGGCCCCCCAGAACCTTGAAGTTCGAGGGCGACATCGCCTCATGGCCGATTTCAGATAGATGTAGTGTGATTTCTGGCCGGAGCATCTTCGCACGCACTGAATTCGACAAGACGAGATGGTGTCGAACGAGTCGACGTCCCACGGCGGTGTTTATTTACCCATCTCATAGGCGAACTCCTGCCTCCGGTTTCCCCTCTGCCGTATAACTATCCGGGCCCCTCGCGCATGCAACAGGTATACGGAAACACCATGATCGACTGCCGGGCCTCCGCAGTAAAGGTCATGGTCGAACCCCAGGGTCAGATCTGCGAGAACGAGGTTATACTTCCTGATGACGTTGACGAGGACGACGTGAGTGTTGAATGCTGGGTTGGCGACCGGTGTTTTTTTCCTGGCCTGTTTTCCTTGTGGATACGATACCCCAAGGTGTGAGGAGGGGCGTCACGAGGATTGGTCATGATCACTTGATGGGGATTTTCCGCACGAACAAATCAGGCCACGGGAGTAGGAAACGTTTTTTCTGGCTTGTGAGATTGCCGCCGAAACCTGACGGGTGTTTCGAACATGACACAACACTCGATTCTTTTATGAAAAGAGCACGCGAAAAGGGGTAGGAAGTGGCTCTCATGGAGGAGTGCAATGCGGTGCCGCCGTTCTATCCCCGCTGACGAATGTTCGTCAAAGATGGATCTGGAGAAGAAGTAGGAGAGCGCCCCCCTTCGCCATTCCTCTGAGCTCCGTTTCTCTCTCTTTCTCTCTCTCTCTCTCCCCTTCTGTCTGTCTGTCTTTCTGTCTCCTTGAACTTGGCGCTATCAACGCAGTATGACTATTCCGGAGGAGCCTACTACTACGACCCGTTGAAACCCTGTGACTCTTCGCCCACGCCGGTTCCCGAGCCAACCCCTTCAACGGTAATATTGATACTTCAAAGAATACACTAGGGACAAGAGGTCGAAATGTAATGGCAACAACGCGTCGTGCGTTTCATTTGATATGCTGGCGCCGTCCATATTGGTGTGGGCCGTTCGTCATTTGCTCGAGTGGTGAGACTAGTCCGCTGTCCTTTACGTTCTGCTTGATATCACGACTCCGGGAACGTATTGGGACTTTTAAACCGATTCTTCGTATCGACCGCGGTTTGTATTCATGTCATTGGCAATAGAAATAGAAGTCCCACCAGGCAACAAAATGTTCGGACTATTCTGCTCTTTTGGGCAGGTCGCCCTCGTGCTCTAGTGTTTTTTTGTAGCGTTGGCACTTTTTATTCTGGCGGTCATGCATAGGTAGATGCAGTGAACACCGCCGAGGCGTGTTTTTACCGTTTCATCCGCTGGCATGGGAAGGGGTCGGTTCGTGCGTGCGTGTGTGCAGTCAAGGGCAGGAAGTGTGGGAAGCCATCCTCATGGGGTCGAAAAGGGAAGCATTCGCGCCGCAACGTATATTCCGCCGCCGACATGACCACGGGTCTTAGCTCTTGAGCGAGAGATTCAGCAATCGCGGGGTATTTATTTGCATAGGTAACGGAGAGTGCGCCTCATATCACCCATAACGTGGGGGTGGAAACGGACTAAAAGCACTCTCCCATCGCTCGCGCGCTTCGTTGTTGTGTGCCCAGGTGACCCCGACACTGGCGGCAACACCCGAGCCAACCACCGAGGCGCCAACGACCGAGGCGCCAACGACCGAGGCGCCAACGACCGAAGCGCCAACGACCGAGGCGCCAACGACCGAGGCGCCAACGACCGAAGCGCCAACGACCGAGGCGCCAACGACCGAGGCGCCAATGACCGAAGCGCCAACGACCGAGGCGCCAACGACCGAGGCGCCAACGACCGAAGCGCCAACGACCGAGGCGCCAACGACCGAGGCGCCAATGACCGAAGCGCCAACGACCGAGGCGCCAACGACCGAAGCGCCAACGACCGAGGCGCCAACGACCGAGGCGCCAACGACCGAGGCGCCAACGACCGAAGCGCCAACGACAGAGGTGCCTCCGACCCAACCGCCAACGACCGAAGCGCCAACGACCGAGGCGCCAACGACCGAGGCGCCAACGACCGAGGCGCCAACGACCGAGGCGCCAACGACCCAACCGCCAACGACCGAGCCAACGACCGAGCCCGGAACTGGTAAGTATTCCGAAGATACACCATTCCTCCCCTGCTATACACTGAATGACTCCCTCATTAACAATATACTCCACCGTTCGGATGCAAGGGTGAAAATCCCGAACGTGACGAGTATTCCAATCAGATTGGCATCGTTCTTAAGACAAAACGAACTCCGATGCGTCCCCCTCCCGGGCCATCACCTCCCCTGGATTGGGGAGAAAATAAACGGAGAAGGCTCGGGTCGCTGGGTATAAGTAACCAAAATGATCACAACGCGAAACCCACACACACGAAACCGAGACCGCGGGCACAAGACAACCTTATGATCTCAGTGATCGAATACGAGCGTGATCAAGAACGTGGGCTTCCTTGGCGTCGTTGTGCTATCTATGCGGTCACGCGGACTAAAATAAATTTCACAAGAACAGGGGCAAGTAGCGGCGGGAGACACCGTTCAACAAGACAGGGACAGACAGATGGCCCCAAAACGTGAGGGAGGCCAGACTATATGACGGGAGAGCTGACACGACACCAATATTGCTAGGGGATGTCATCATGGGCAAGAGAGCGGAGCTCGCTGGCTGTCTGGCGGCGTTAAGTCTTGACATAACTGTTCCAGTAGGAAGTCGCAGCATTCTTCCAAAGTGGAAGAACACTCATGGTGATGCAGGAGTAGAGGCGGCCACGGGGACGTGCCTGTACAGGGGAACAATAGTCAGAAATGGTCACCCACCGCGGGAACCACTGGATACGCAGAAGGGCGACAACTAGACCAATTGGAACAAAAGCATGTATTAAAGCCAGGTAACATGACGCTGAGGTAAGCATAGCAACAAGTACACCGAAACTACGTAGAAAGCACCCGTACCTCATGTTTGCGCCACGATAAACAGCAATCAGCACGCTCTGCTCAACCTATCACCAACACGTTCCCTCGTAATTCTCGCGCCCGCACGATCCGGTCTCAAGCCCATACGTTTGAAGAAACGGAGAGTACGTGCAGCGATGGCATCGAGGGCATCGACGGCAATGGCGTCGTCTGCTGCCCTCTCGGTTGTGGCCAGTGCGCGGGTACGGGTTGCGGCACTTCTGGCGCTGCGAACGGTCTTGACGCTGGTTCATGCTGCGGAGGAGGGATCAAGTATAACGGCAACTACTGTGACGACACCGGTGTAGCCCCATGCATCTACGGCAGCGCCCCCGAAACTGACGATGGTGACGATGACGGTGACGATGAGGGCGATGATGATAGTGAGGAAGACGATGATGGCGGTGAGCGGAGTACCACACCCGTGTATCATACGTTCGGCTCGTTGGTGGCACAAACATTTTGCCCGCCCGTTGGGGTGTGTGAGATACATATTATATGGCGAATTTCCACTCATCACGATACCAAAACAAGAAACGTTTGTTGTCGGAGACGGAATGTCGTAACCGCAAGAGTTGAACAGCATCATTGTCGGGAACCTGGACTGGAATACGTAGTATAGTCTTCGCGTGCCCCTCCAAATTTCTGGACAATAGCGGCGAGCACACGTGCACCGGTGTCGTAGGTCGTAGCGCTTGTGAGCACGAGAGAAAATCTCGGAGTACGTGGGCACGCCGAAGGATTGCACTGGCCAACTTAGAACAGGTGGACACAGGAAGTAGTGTATTTCTCCCGCCCACCCACCCCTTTTCTTTCGAAGACGGGGGAATGGAAACGGAAACGGGTGCGAAGCCCTCATTTCCTGTGGTGAGATTTCTAGAGTTATCTTGGGTGTACGGTGTAGTTGAATGGTCGAGCACCATTTGGGGACTCGGTACTCCAGACCCCTGCGTGCAGTAGGAGTAGCCGGTTCCCCCCCGACTGGATGAAGCTGACTTTGTGCGGAGAGAGAGAAAGAGACCATTTTTGAAGGGGAATCAGGCGCGAGGATTGTGTGGGTTTTCAGCGCCGGTTCTTGCCCCTTCTCTCTCTCCATCCTTGGTGATCAACATAGACACCGATAATGATCAAGCAACTCAATAGAAATCAACAAAGACAACTTACTGTCGTATGTTTAACAGCAGGTGATGGCACGTGCAGCGATGGCATCGAGGGCATCGACGGCAACGGCGTCGTCTGCTGCCCTCTCGGTTGTGGCCAGTGCGGAGGGGCGGGATGCACCACTGCTGGCGCCGCGAACGGTCTTAACGCTGGTTCATGCTGCGGAGGAGGGATAAAGTATAACGGCAACTACTGTGACGACACCGGTGTAGCCCCATGCATCTACGGCAGCGCCGCCGACGTCTAACCAAAACTCGTTGAGTTGGTCCTGTTCAAAACAAAAAGTACGTGCAGGAACGACCTCGATGGGATCGACCACAAGGGCTAAGTCTGTTCCCCGCTCGGGTGTGACCAGTGCAGAGGATCGGGATGCAGCATTGCTGGCGATACGAACGGTCTTGGCGAAGAGTCGTGCTGCCTATCAAGGAGTAAATGATATCTTCAACGACACTGACGAGGCCCCATGAATCATTCAAGGCGGAGGCGACAACGACGAAGGCACTGCTGCTTCAGGGGGGGGGGGCATGACTCGGAGAATTATTTGTCGAGTGCCGCCACCACCCGTACGGGGTGGGTATTTGAACAAGGTTTGTCAGTGAACACCATTCGGTGGGTTTTCTGTACGCAACGGGATCGTGCTGGTGGGCGGTGCACACAAGTGAATCCCCATCGACCGGGGGGGGAGGGGTTGCCCCGTTTTTTTCGTTATGTTGTGTTGTGTCACGTATTGTCTCACAGAATCATCGGTGGATATATTGCTGACTTTGAAGTAAGTGTTCTGAGGTATTCATGCGGATTTGCCGCACACCACTCGCGAAAAAACTGTTGCTACATACTTAGCTTTAGTAGATTGCAGACGCATATGCATATCATAGCCTGCTTAGAGGCCACGTTTGAGGAAGCGTGTGTATGCCTCCTCAGCAGGAATGACAAGTTTTAGACTCGGCCCATTGACCCCGAAGAGTGCAGTGCCTCACGTGACGGGTGCCTGCACAAACCTTTTGAACAGCGTTAGATCGTGCAGGTGTGGGCGGGGGGCGTACTCCTGTAGCATGTATTGTCTCGCGGGTCATCGGTCGGTGTGATATTACGGCAGTTATGTAAAGGGTTTTGAGTTATTATTATGGCTTCGCCACACGCCGACTCGTGAAAAACTGTTGTTGCATTAACTACTGGGCGTACATACTATGTATCATGGCCTGCTTAGAGGCCAAGTTTTAGGAAGGGGTTGCTTTGATCCGCAGCAGGAATGAGACTGAAGAGTGCAGTGCCTCGCGTGACGGGAGCCTGCACAAACGTTTGAAACGCGTTTGACCGTGCAGCGCACTCATGGTGCACGTATTGTCTCGCGGGTCATCGGTGTAAGATATTTTGAAGGAAGGTTTTGAGGTATTCATGTGGCTTTGCCTCACGCCCCTCATGAAAAATTTTTGTTGCATTAACAACATGGCGCACGTACTATGTATATCATAGCCTGCTTAAAGGCCAAGTTTTAGGAAAAGGTTATTTTCATCCCCAGCAGGAATGAAACGCCGGAAACGTGAGACTCGGTCCATTGACCATGAAGAGTTCAGTGCCTCGCGTGACGGGGGCCTACAAAACTAGTTTGTTGATCGTGTCATTTTTTCATCGTGCAGGTGTAAAAATTCACGGGAGGGGGCGTGTGTTTTGTTATGCCATCGGAAATGGCGTCAACAATTTTGGCAACCCGCTGTGACGGTGTGTTTTGCTTAGTCACCAATCTCACAGGCGAACCACTATACTTACTGTGGTACCAGGAGTATTGCCGGAGAATTTTCGTCGGTGTTCGTGTCTCTTTGCCAACCAAGATTATAAATGGTACAACGCAAGTCTTGCTTTTGGTGTCAGGTGAGTTGTCTATGTCGTGGTTTCGAGGAGACGCTCACCAAGCATATTATGCGGAAGTGGTTTGTTTTCGGTCGTGATGCGTTGTTGATCCACCACCGCTCGAGTTTGAGTTGAGTTTTGGGAAAAAGCGCCCGCTCAGAAAGCACATTTATCTGCTACACAGCCAGGGATAGGTGTTACAATTTGGCCTGTGGGGTAGCCCCCGTCGTCGATTGAAAGCTGGCAAGTTCTTTGCTACGGCGCGACGAGTCTAGACAAGTATCACAAGGGGGGCGTGTGAGAATAGGGATCGGATGAAATGTTGACGTGAGGGTTCGAGGTTTGAACCCAACATAATGTTATGTTGGTCCAGGCGTAGACATTGTTTGCGAGGAACGTTCTCTTCCGCCTTTCGCAGAAGATGAGGGGGGCTGGGGAAACCCTATCAACAATGTTACGACTGATTCTCAGCGTTAAGCTGTGCCTTGTTCCTCAAGTCAACCCTTATACCTCTGGGCCTTCTGGGATCCAAGGTTGTAGCTGCACCTTGGTTATACACCGGAGAACATGCATCACGACATGGGTAGTTGAACTTATTTCGTTGACACAAACCGTCAGATATTGGCGACGATAACTTTAATATTGGACCCGTCGAGCACTCGCTCGTGACCCGGAGGCTTTTGTGCGTCTTCAATAGTTTTAGAGCGATGCGTGTTCGAATCTCTCCGGGGTGAAAATCGTGCAATATACCACCTACCGTAGCAGCACTTGAATACGCTAGTCCCTCCCTGGGACCCCAGCTGGTGCATCACTCATATACGGGACCTACCGAAAGGTACAGACTGGCACCCAGAGTAGAGAGGCTGACAAGAAAGGAACGCGCCCACGTTTGCATCACCACCCCCCCCCCCCCCCCGCGCGCGCTCGAAACAGACGCCCTAGCCGACCGCAGATATCTCTTCCTCTAGTAGTTTTCTTAACTGCGCTGGAGACGACAAAAGAACACATCACCCTTTATTACTTATCTCTGCAGTATCCTTCTCGCCGGACGCGCCCTGGACCAGGAAGAGTTCGAAAATCGGAAGTCAACCCGAAGCGAGGAGGTCGCGGATAACGTCGCTCCTGCATCTCAAGGGATGCGCGGG